TAAAGTGCTTAGGAGAGGCACATTGTACTCAGACCTGCAAGATCTCCAGAGGTTTTAAACCTCAGACGAGATGAGAGAGAGAGACTCTTGTTTGAAGAGACTACTAATGGAGTCCTCTCTCCAGCCCCGGCACCAGACGACAGTCAGTCGGTGCGCAGTGCCCCTTCATCGGCACGTGAGATGTCCTCTGCACCGACCAAGGCTAAGGCTAAGTCTTCCTGGCACCGGTCGCAGGTCTACTTGTCACCAGCACAATTGGCATGGATGCACCCACCTGTGGCACTGGGAACACCAGCAACCACATCAGTGCTGGCTCCAGCCCTGCCTCCAGCACTGTCTGCTCTCAACCCCGGAACTATCTACAGCCCTGGCTCTGCCCTCAAACCTGGCTCCGGCACCAGTGTTGACTCTAGCCCCTGCACTGGGGCTCACAGCACCTCTGGTGCCGGGAACGACAATGATGCTTGTGGCACTTGCAGCGCTGGCAGCATCACCGGACCTCATGGCACTTCAAGAGCTATCAGTGGCACCGGCACTCATAGTGGCACCGGTGCTCGTAGTGGCACCAATGATTGTAGCACCTCTGGCATGGGCAGCGGCACCAGCACTTGTAGTGCCCCTGGTGGAGTTAGGGACATCGGCACTTGTAGTGCCCCCAGTGCAGGTAGCGGCACTGGCGCTTGGAGCACCTCCAACCCCAACGGCGGCACCTACGCTTGTAGCGCCTCTGGCACCGGCAGCATTTGTGGCCACGACCTCGGCATGGCTACAGACACAGTTTAATATACTGGCTCAGAACTTCCCTCTAGCTCCGGTACCATCCCCGGCACCGGGACCGGTGCCACTACCGGCATCAGCTCCCGTATGGACTGTGACAGACGTTGGCACTGGCACTTCTCCCAGCATATGCTATTTCGATGGCACCGCATAAGGTAACAACGTTGGCACCGATCCCAGCCCCAGTGGTGACGCTGCTGCCGATACCAAGCCAGGCGCCCACAACACTGGTGCCGTTGGCGTTTTCCAATCAGCTGGAGCCCCCGTTATCCTGGACTTCGGTTCCACCGCTGTGCAGGGCTATGGGACCTCACGGGCAGGCAGTATTGATACAGCCCTTTCTGCCCCCTGCTCCAGCCCCCGCTCTTAGGGGAAAGTCACGAGCTATGGCCCAGCACCAAAGAGACCAGGAGTCCACTGCCCCCCTATGGTCAGCAATGGACTATTCCTCTGAGTCAGATGCGGAGTCCTTGAGGTTGGGAAGGTCCTCCTTCCATTCCAGATCAATGCACCAGTCTCGTTCCCGGCACACAACTGCTTGTGTGGACCTGCAGCAGTATTCTTGGCCTCCCCAGCAATGGCCCTTTTGGACCTGGGCCTATCATCAGGCCCAAGGTCCGCCTCCTGCAGCATCCGTCTCGGGCTCCTTAAGACGGGGGACTCCACCATTGGCAACGCCAGTACATAGAGCCCCCACATCAAAAATGGATAGGTCAATTACAATGATGACTTCGAGACCCCAGGGGGCTCTGAGCGAGGTGGTGTCCAGACCCACTCCTGTGGAACCTCCCCAGGTAGCCCTGCCAACAGTACCAGAGCTACCGATGGAAGTGCAAATGGAGGATACGACTGTACCACAGGACTCCTTATCTTCCTCTCCCGAAGAGGCCCTAACAGACCCAGACCCATCTTTGCCATCGATGGATGCGAGGGCCCATCAGGACCTAGTACGAATTCTGGCGAAGAATTTAGCAGTCAAGGTAGAGGAGGTCCAGGAGGATACAGATCCCATGGTGGACATCCTCTTCACTACAATCGCGGGCAGGGTGGCATTACCCCTGATAAAGACGGTGGACAAGCTAGCCAAGACCCTCTGGCTGACACCGGCCTCCATCCCTCCCACCCAGAAGTGGGTGGAGAAGCAATACTTTGTTACCCAGGAGGGGCATGACTTTTTGTTTTGGCCCCTGCTCCTGAGCTCTTTGGTTGTACAGGCAGCAGGACAAAAAGAAAGACAACCCCTAAAGCCAAAGACCCCCCAAAATTGGACCTCCTGGGACGGAAGGCCTATTCCGCGGGGGGCCTACAACTGTGCATAGCCAACCAGCAGGCTATGCTGAGGCGCTATGCGGACAATACCTGGTCCGCTATGGACAAATGTGGGGACTGTTTGCCACAGAAGGACTGCTAGGAGTTTAGGGCCTTGGCAGACGAAGGTAGGACGGTGGCCCGTACGGCCTTGCAGGAGGCTTTAGACACTGCCTGGACTATGGCAACAGCTATTGTTATGCAACGGACTGCATGGCTAAACGTGTTGGGCATTCCTCCCAATGTTCAAACCCTTCAGGACTTGCCCTTTGAAGGAGCGGGTCTTTTTTCGGATCAAATGGACTCCAAACTATATAGCCTGAAAGATTCCCGGGTGACCCTTAAGTCTTTGGGAATCCACACGCCCGGTCCACTCAGGTGACCCCTAAACCCTAAGCCTGCGACAAGGCATTTCCAGTGGGGTTTTATCTCTGACCGTGGCAGAAGGTGGGGGTGTAGTTTTTCAAAAAACGACCCACCTAGAAACCGGCGCAGAGCTCAGAGATTGGCTCAAGATAAGGGACCCACTACATCCGCAGGATAGCACCCTAAACCACCATTCTGAGGGCACGATCGAGGACCGCACACCAGTCATGCTTTCTTCCCGCCCCTTTGGTTTCCATTTATCCCATTTCTATGAAGCCTGGGCATCGATAACATTGGACCAGTCCTCAGCCTACTGGCACGCAGCTACTTAATCCCTTTTACTTCTTCCCCTCCTCTGTCCCCTCCCCACTCCCCTTCCTCCCTTTTCAGGGACCCCTCTCACGAAGCGCTGCTGGAGGAGGAGGTTGCGAAGCACCTGAACCTCGGGGTGGTGGAGCCCTTCCCGGATGAGTTCAAGAGGAGTGGGTTTTATTCCCGCTATTTCCTCATACCAAAGGCAAAAGTGGGACTTCGTCCTATTCTAGATCTCAGAGGACTAAATTCGTTCATAAAGAAGACAAAGTTCAAAATGGTCACCTCATTGCAGGAGGAATAACAGGTTATTCAAAATAAGGCTTTATTTCGAATGCCCGTTTCACTGCCGTGTGTAGACGTGGGCAGTTATTCCGGGCTTGTAAATTTTAAAAATGGCACCCAGCCAGGAAGATGCAAATCAAGCCCGGGATATTTAAATTCCGGGCTTGATTTGCAATTCTGAATGCCTACATTTGCAGCCCTATTCCGAAATAGGCTGCAAGTGTAGACATACTCTCAATGACCTCCACAGCACCACTACCTTTACTTCTGGAATATCTGCTGGGGTTGAAATGCTTGGGTTTACCAATGAGCTAAGTCAAAGTCCTTCATGCTGTCATTATTGTATTCTGCAATGAGATCAATGTGACCCTGACTAAATATTTCCTCATGAGTCTCTAGAGCATATACCCAGAGATTTGCCACTTACCCCAACCTGGAACTTCACTCTGGTGTTGCAATTTGCCTAAATCTGCCAAACCAGACTGTCATTTGAACTGCTAGCCACCTGCTCCCTGATGCATTTATGTATGAAACTGGCATTTCTGGTAGATATCACTTCCACCAGACAGGTGAGTGAAATAGTGGTATTAATGGCCAATTCTCCCTTCACAATATTCTTCAAGGATAAGGCCCTTCTATGTCTACACCCAAAATTGCTACTGAAAGTAACATCAGTCTTTCATGTGAACCAATTAATCCATCCTCCTACATTCTATCCTAAGCCGCACAGTACTACAGCAGAGATAATCTTGCATATATTGGACATTTGGTATCCATTAGTATTTTACATAAAAAGCACCAAATTTTTCCAGAAATCTAGATTTTTCATTTCTACTACAGAGCATTTGAAAGGCCACATAATATCCACTTACAGATACTCTAAATGGCTCTCTACAGGCAACCAACTCTGCTACCATATGCAGAACAGAGACCGTCCTGCTCACATCAGAGCACATTCTACATGATCCATGTCAACTTTCATAGCATTTATACATAAGTTTCTAATACTAGAGATTAGTAAGGCGACCACTTGGGCCTCTGTCCACACATTTACATGACTACAGGGCTAACTCCATAGTTGGCCTAACACTATCGTTACTATGACAAACTCAAAGTCCTTTCCTGCCTTCTGAGGGGCACTGCTCAACATCCACCTGAAGTGGAGCACATGCAGGGACAGCACCCAAAGAAGAGATTACCCACCTTATATAGTAACAGAGATTCTTTAAGATGAGTGTCTCTGTGGGTGATCTTTTACCCACTCTCTGTGTGGTATAGAAGGGACTTATGTCATGTGTGCCTTAGAAGTGGCAGCAATGGCACCACAAGAAGCCTAATGCACATGCATGACCCACATGGACACTGTTGTAAATCTCCAAACAATGATGTCAGGATGCACCAACTTCTGAAGCTCCCACAGGGACTGAAGAACCTCTGTATTATTGCACTTCTCTCTGATAAGATGACTCTCACCTCATTTATATTTTGTTGGAGCTAATAAGTTGCTCTTCCTACATCTAGTAAAAGCAGAATTTACTCAGAAGATTGGTGCAGGAGTCTAATAATGTGTGTCAATAGAAGAATCCCACCACTTTTTTACAAATGGCATTAGGACATCTTTGTGTTTTCACATGTAATTAAAGATGTAAGTTGGATACTCTTTCTTCGTAGAAATATTTTTAACTTATCAGAGGCTATGGCTACACTACAAACTTTTTCTGGAAGAGGAAATGCAAATGGAGCGCTCATTTGTATATCTCACATTCTCATTTGTATATTCTCTTTCAATCCTTTTTGTACAAGAGGTTTTTATGCAAAAAAGCGCTCCATTTTCATTTCCTCTTCCAGAAAAAGTTTGTACTGTAGCGGTAGCCTAAGTGTTAATTTGCATACAATGGCTTTTTTACAGACCACCTGTATAATAATGTAAACAGTGCTTTATTCTTTTTTAGATCTGGTAATGAAACATGGGACTGAGGATGTGATCAGCATGGCACATGCTTTTGAAGATGACTTGACACCACGTAAGTTATAAAGATTTGCTAAAACATAAAATGTTAGTCAAAATATTTTAGTCTTTTTTACCCTTGAATGGGTTTTATCACCCTATTGAGACCCAGTGTCCAAGGACCACATCTTTGGGATTTTTATCTGAGAAGGAAAGGGTTGATAAGACTGGAAAATGGCTGAATTTGGTTAGTCTGACTGTAGCTTACTTGAAGCATTGTAAATCTGCTGGTAGGGTGCTTGGAGTTTTGAAGCAGTCTTTGTGTGGCTTTACTGTGCAGAGACTTATACCTCAGCCAACAAACCTTCTAAAGACATTTTCGTTTGGTTATTTTTTGTTTTCTTGTGGGACTTTATATTTGCTGTTCTAACGTTAAACAGATTTAAGGACAGTGGGAATGAAAAGAGTTTGGATGTCTTTGTTGTTGTCAACCTATTAAAAGGAATACATTTTCACTTTCTTTGGATGGAAGATTTGCAGAGACTGGCTAAGGCTATGCTCTACTTGACCTGACAACCACTCTTTAAAAGATGATCCAAGAGGTTTTGGGGGAGAAAAAAGGTTCACTTGAAAGGCAAAAGTGGTTTATGTTGTCATATTTTAACTACTGTCTTCATTCAGACTCAAGAGAGAAGCTCCTAGGTTGAGGAAGGGAAGCAACTCTCTTCTCCTCTTGACTATCAGAAGGCATCTCCTAGGTCTAGACTACAGTAGTAGTTTAAATTGAACTCAGCCACGTAAGGTCAATTTTCTAAACAATGAGTCCATATCATCATGTCTGTTCCATTGATCTTTAGAGCTGTTAAAGTCAGTTTTGGTACTCCTGCTTTTCACAAGGAATAACAATAAATTCGACCTTTCACACTCGACTTTAGAGAAGTGCAGATCCAGCACTGTGAAAATTGACATTCTTGGCCTCTGGGAGCTCTCCCTCAGTGCCCTACTATGACTCTTTGGGCTAGGACTTTCAACTCAACCGCTCTCCAAGTGCTCAGGAAAATTTCAATTTCATTTCCTATGTGGCCAGTGTGATGAGCAGACCTCACAACAGGCAGCACACCTGACCATGAATGCCCAAGGTCTCAAAGGAGCTCCAGTATGGAGCATCCAGGAGATCCTGGACCTCATTGCTGTGTGAGGAGAGGAATCAGTTGAGGCAAAACTATAAAGCATCAAAAGAAATGCTAATATCTATGCCAAGTTTGCACAGTGCATGAAGGAGAAAGGTTATACCAGGTATGCCCAGCAGTGCTCAGGCAGGCATACTAGAAGACAAAGGAGGCAAACGTATGGTCTGAGTCAGCGCCACAAACTCCCCATTTTGTGAACAGCTGCATGGGTTTCTAGGGGGAAACCTGAGCACTTTCCAAAGCTAGTCTGTGGATTCTTCTCGAGGCACTCCTCTGGCAGCAGTATGCAGGACAGCACGGACAAGGAAGAGGCGGAGGAGAATGGTCATCAGCAGGTGAGCAGAGCATCCGATCTCATCAACAGCCAGGACCTTTTTATAATTTTGGAGACAATCCCATCCTCCCAGGAAGTCTTGTTGCTGGACCCTGATGCCAGGGAGAGCAATTCTGGTGAGTTTATGTTTGTAATTATTCTACAAATGGGTTAAGGCAATTGGGTGTGATCTGTGGCACCCATTCTGCCTATACATTATGGACTCCCGGAACAGTTTGTTAACGTGTCTGGAGATGTAGTGGGAATCCTTCTTGCATATTTCTATAAAGCTTTCATAGAGGTACTCTTTCATCCTTCTCACAAGGTTTCTGGGGAGATCTGCCTTATTCCGTCTTCCACAGTAAGACATCTTCCCATGCCAAGCCAGCAATAAATGGTCGGCATCACTGCAGCACAGAGCATTGCAGCATAACGTCCTGGTTTCTATCTGCATTCAGTCAGCATCTGATCCTTATCACTCTGTGATTTGGGAAAGACTGATATAGCATATGGCAACCTGAATGAAGTAGGAGAAGCAATGTAACTGATACCACAGCAGTACACCTCAAGTTGCTCATACCCAACAAACCAACCCCCGCCTGCATACTCCTTAGTGTCCGCAGGAGCCTCTGCTCTTCTACCAACCCAGACCACCTCCCCCTGCTGCCCACAGGCTCTTCAGCGTCCTCCTGAATCTCTGCCCTTCTGCTACAGCCAGACCATTTTCTGCTCCCTCCCACAAGCTCCTGTGGGAAGGGAAAGTTGCACTCCCAGCAAATGGGGGATGCCAAACACACGACCACTGCATGAGCTCCTGCCCTGTCCTGCTGCCATACCACTGTGCCCCCCCCCTGCAAACACAAATACTCGCCTAGATGTGGAAGCTGCTATTTGCAAGCTCTGTATTGCGCACAAAAGAGCAAGCCCCAGCCTGTTCCTTATGCCTGCCACTAATCCAAGTCCAGCTGCTTCCAGATCTCTGTGGTGTACCTGCTATATAGTGGACACTTAAAACTTTGGCGTTGTACATAACACATGCCTGTTGTCTTGGACAAACATCCCTGTATGCTAAGCAATTAGGTTCTATGCTCCACAATGTATCTCTGGTAAAATCTGCCCTTCACTTTTTATTTATTTATTTATTTATTTTTACAGTGGATGCAGCAGCGAGCTTGCTGTACGCTCCCCTGGGTCTGGCTTCTTCAGCTGTTTGGCTATCACAAATCCATAGGCAAAAACATACTAGGGATGACATGTTCAGTAAACAAATGCAATCCGCCCACTTGGACAGGGTGTAAGTGTGTGGAGGACAATTTTATTGCAGATGTGAGCAGAGTGTGAAGATAGAAAAGCATATAGGAACATGAAGTGAGGACACAAGAGAATATCTTGACAATCATGGCAGAACTGATGACACGTGGTAGACTCACAGGAGAGCCAGATGCTCCAACCCATGGTAACTCACATTCCCTCCTCACCAAGTTCCATAGCCTCCTCTCCCAGGGCAGCCTCAACACTCAGTCTCCAATGATGTGTCCTGGAACAAAAGGCTGTCATTCTTTCACCTTACAATTGCTGAACAGGTAGATTGTAATACACACTTCCCCTTCTCTCCTCCCTTCCCCCTCCAAGCTCCTTCCCTGAATTCCCTTTCTGTCTCTGCTTCCTTGGGTTCCCTAAATAAAGATGCTTCATTTCTCAATAACAGTATCTTGTTGTTTGTGTTGCATGGGGAGAGAGAAGTGGGTTACAGGCAAGCATACTTAATGCAGAGGGCATCTTGTTTAGAGCTACATGCATGACTGTCATGTAGTTCTCTGGATATTCAAAAAGCTATTTTTCAAAACCTCTCAGATTTGCAGTGCCCCTCGATGTGTTCTCATTATCTTAGTAGTCTGATTGCTAGTAATGACTGAGTAGGCACTGTGCCTCGAACCCCCTCCCCTACCACGCCACATATGTTTCCTCTTACTCTCACAGCTATTATGAAGCTGTCACAGGTCAAACATTCAGCGCCTTGGCATCTCCTGCTGGTTACTATGGGAATTAGCTCAAATCCACCCTTGGACACCCTTCTGGTATCTCATCTGCTGTATCCTATTTATGTGTTAGGGATTCTGCCACCTTATATTAGGACCTGCATCCCTCCCAGACTATGGTGCCCTCCCCTCTGGGTATTGCTCTACTGCCGTGCCACCTCACTCTGGGGTCCTTCCCCTCAGAGAATCCCCAACCACTGTTCCTTCTAAGCTGCATGGCAGTATAGCTTCACAGGTAATTAATCAGCCCCGCTCAGTCAGGCAGCTCCATGCAGGAAGCTCTGAGGCTCTGACTGAGCACAGCTGATTAATCACCTGTGAAGCTGTGCTGCTGCTCGACTTAGAGGGAACACTACCTCCAACCCCCTATACCCTTGCCTCAGTGTCCTTACTGCCAGACATGATGTAGCCCCTTTCCTCAGAGGCAAACGGCAATCTGAAATGGCTACTCATCATTGGCAAGGGATGTGGACCTGCTGCCTTCTCCTATCCTGGCTACCTGCAGCCCTAGTACACTCAGACCTTGCCTCAGGCCCTGTAACCTAGGAGTGTGGTCAGGCCAGAGCTCACCAGGTCTGCCTGCTTTTCCCCAGCACTACTCTGTCTCTAGCTTTCCTGACAGTCTGGTCCCTCTTGCTCCATGGGTGGAGTAAGGGTGAGTGCCTTTTAGGAGCCCTTATTTATACAGCCCTCATCTGGGCCCTGATTGGCTGCTATCTGTTGCAGCTGCTTGCTCCACTTCCCCAGCCCTCTCCCAGAGCTGGATTTCACCCTTCTTAGACCAGTGCAGGGCAGATACCCCATCACAGGAGCACACAGTTGGCTGTCACAACAGTGGCAATGTTGCTTTTGCTGAGGACTAATCTAGTCAGTAGACTGTGAAACCTTCCCTTTAATCCCCCAAAAGCACATTCTGCCACCTTTTTGAACATGCTCAGCCTATAGTTGAATTGCTCCTTACTGAGGTCCAGGCTTCCTGAGCCACAGGAGCAAGGGATAAGCTGGGTCTCCAAGGATCACTATTGGCATTTTAATGCCTTGGGTAATTTTCTAGTCTGGGAAGAGAATTACAGCTTGCAGCTTTTTTAAGAGACAGGAGTATTCACAAGACTTTAGATATAGCCATATTTATGTACACTAGTCCCTTTGAAATGAAATCTGATATTCATATAAAAATGATTTTCCCATCAGACACAATTTTATTAATGTAGGAGCACTAGCAATTATTTGGATTCCTTTTAAGTAAAGTGAATAGACATAGCAAATACATTGAGGCTACGTCTACACTGCAGGCTTCTTCCACAAGAAACCTTTTGCACAAGAATTTTTGTGCAAAACCTTCTTGCGCAAGAGCATGTCCACACCTCAAAGCACATCACAAAAGCACCTATGCCTTTTCCCGGAGGGAGTGTCCACACTTCCATAGGAGTGTCCACACTTGCCTTTCCCTCTGGAGTGTTTACACTTGCCTTTTTGCACAATAGCTGTAGAGCAAAAGGAGTTATTCCTTGTAATAGGAGGTTTACCTACAACAGAAAAAGCCCTCTCTTCTGCCATTTTACTGTTGATTTACTTGCGCAAAAGTGTATTTGACGTGTGGATGCTCCACTGGTTTTTGCGCAAAAACAGCTGTTTTTGTGCAAAAACCTTGCAGTGTAGACATAGGAAGAAAAAAAGCTAAATTTACTTCAGTGTTGATAGCTTCCTTTAAAACTTCTTGCATAGCAAATGTTTTACAATGTTTTATTTTTGTCTACAGAAACAATTGAAACAATGAGCACTCGCATACTAGACATAATGAAAGTATTTGAAAGACAAACAAATAAATTACAAAGGTAAGAAGTTTTTCTAACAAATAAATATATTTTGTTTGTGGCCTGTATGTAAAAAGTCATATGTCTACACTGCATTCCTCTTTTGAGAGATAACCCTTACTCCTGGGCTGTGTCTAGACTGGCCAGTTTTTCTGGAAAATCAGCCGCTTTTCCGGAAAAACTTGCCAGCTGTCTACACTGGCCACTTGAATTTCCGCAAAAGCACTGACTTCCTACTGTAAGAAATCAGTGCTTTTTGCAGAAATACTATGCTGCTCCCGTTCGGGCAAAAGTCTTTTTCCGAAAGACTTTTGCGCAAAAGAGCCAGTGTAGACAGCAGAGATTTCTTTTCCGCAAAAAAGCCCTGATCGCGAAAATGGGTATAGGGTATTTCAAAATAGTGCCCAGGCACGGTTGTACAAAAGAAGCGTGGGAAATTCAAATCTGTGCTTCATTTGCAATTCGCTTGTCTGCATTTGCATTCCTCTCTCAAAAGAGGAATGAAGTGTAGACATACTCTTAGAAGGTACTCTGTTAACTCATTAAATGATAATCTGAAGCAAAGAATAACTGTTTAAACTGAAAGCCATGCATTATTCAGAAGCAATTACTTGTGGAAATTGTGTTGAGTAGTATCAATAGCTGATAATATCTGAAATTTTTCACATTGTTCCTGATCTTATTGTCTGTCAGATGATGCTTTTGCTTTTAGGGCCTATTGAAATGTAATCTTTTAAACTAACAGTGGTCCCCAAACTTTCGGGGCTGCCGGGCGCCCGGGAGCAGGGCCACTCACGCACTGGGCATCCAGGGACAGAGCCGCTCACGCGTTGGCATCCGGGGGCGGGGCCGTGCATGCACTGTGCTCCCGGGAGCAGGCCGCCCATGCGCCATGCGCCTGGGACCGATACCACGCATGTGCTGCATGCCCGGGGCAGAAGCCGCCCATGCACCCCACGTCTGGGGCCAGCACTGCACATGTGCCGTGCGCCCGGGGCAAGGGCCACCCATGCGCTGTGTGCCCAGGGCCAGCACCACGCATGCGCCGCACACCGGGGGCAGGGCCGGCCCAGATCATTCGGCAGGCACAGATAAATGCCTCGATGGGCACCATGGTGCCCACAGGCACCGCGTTGAGGACCACTGAAAAAATATACATATCTTGAATTTCTTCGTCGAGTAGTATCCCGACTATGGGTGCTCCAATGTAGGTGTTTGTGCATTCCTGAGATTCTAATTGGAGATTTTTGGTAGCAGTATCCATGTGCTCTCCCTTCCTAGGCTCTCTGCTCTCCCTTCCTAGGCTCCCTTCCTAGGCAGTCCGTACATGTGCTCTCCCTTCCTAGGCTCTCTAGCACTGCATGAGCTAAATCCCCATACCTCCTTCTCAGCTGCCTCACAGGAGAGAGCAGTTGTCCCTTCCTTATCTGCATCTTTAGTATAAATAGTAGTTGTTTTTATTTCTTTTGTTTTCCCTAATAGCTAATGGGTTTTTTTTTAATCTCCCTTGGGATTAAAAAAAAAGTGAAAGACATCAAGCAAGCAAAAAGGAAAGAAAACTTTAATTTGTTCCCTGTCCTATCTGTGGGCACTTCTCTGTGTTTAGAAGACTAGATTTTTTTTCAGGTTAAAAAAAAGAAAAGAAAGAAAAGAGGAGTACAGACTTTTCTTCTTCATTCCTCACTGCTAGAGATTGATAACCCTCCCCACCTCCTACCTAAGGGCATGCTCAGCTGACCTAGCTTTGAAAGGTACTTCTCCTGGGAGCAGTTCCTGTGACAGCCAGACATTCACTGAGTGTGATACCTAGGACAGTCTCACAGAAGTGCTTCACCTGTCACAGCTAAAATGGATGTCTCATAAGAACTGGAAGCTGAAATTAAAACTCCTCTTAAGGCACTTTCATCTCCAAGGGTCTCGGATGCTGACAACTCATCCCCAGAGCCTTTAACTTCAAAGAGGGTAGAGTGATTAAAAAAAGTCACAGCAGACTTCTCTTCTAAAGGCTCCTTAAAAGGACTGAGTAATTTGCCAGTGAGAGGGCTCTGGGCAGGAGTGAAAGTAACTTAAGTTTCTTACAAGTACTGTCATGTCACCTCAGGGCGGGAGGATGAGGGGATGTGATAGAATAGTACCGGTAAGAAATGTAAGATTTGGTGTGGAGTGTGTGTGGAGGATTATGGCAGGGGATGAGGGTGTGGGGATAGTAGAAATTAGGGTAGGGGCTTGGGGTATGGTAGTGCAGGAGTCAGGATTGAGGGTGTGAGGAGGGGCTCAGGGATGGGGTCATGGAGGTGAAGGAGTCGGGGTTGGGAGATGTGGGGGTTCAGGAGTCAGGGTAGGAGGCTGAAGGTGTGGAGGTGCAGGAGTCAGGGCTGGGGTGGGAGGAAGGGCTCAGGATAGAGGGTTGGGGTGTGGGGATCAGGGCAGGAGGCTGGGAGAGTGGTGGAGGTGGAAGTCAGGGACGGTGCTCAGGGCAGAGGGCTGGGTGTATGTAAAGGTGTCCAGGGAGGGCGAGGACGCTATTGGGGGGGGAAGCGGGGGGGAGGAAGCACTGCAGCCACACATACTAGTCCATTGCTGCTCTTTTCCCCCTTCCCCTTACTATCTGACAACAGGGACAATAAGCAGTCCTCTCCCATTTGCTGAGGTGAGGGACAGAGGGGGAATGCAGCAGGCTGTCCACTTTCTCCTTGATCTCAGACAGGGGAAGGGGAAGAAGAGCAGCAGTGCCCTGGTATGTGATGCTGAAGTCCCCCACCTGCCCTCCCAAAATGGCACCTGGAGGAAGGGGCTCAGGGCTGGGCCAACCTGCAGAAATCCCTGTGAACCAGGTTGGGAGCACACCGCCCCCTCCACTGCAGTCAAGTGCTCCATCTGTTTGGCTTCTTGCAGGAGCGGTGCACCATGGCATACTGGCTTACCATCACCTCTGGCTCTGGGTGCTTGGCCAGCCAGAGGGGCTCCCCCATGCAGCCACCTCAGTACCGACAGCATCAGCAGCTCTGAAGTACAGGGTACCCAGAACAATAGACAGGACTATGCAGCACTGTAAAGACTAACAAGATGGTTTATTAGGTGATGAGCTTTCGTGGGCCAGACCCACTTCCTCAGATCAATATGTGGAAGAAAATTGGCACGACTATATATACACCAAAGTGATACAATTAAAAAAAAGTGAACACATATAAAATTCTCTCATCCCCTCAGTAGTTCTTCTTCCCCTCAGGGAACCTATAATTAGTTAATTGCAAATAGCTAGCCTTCTTTTGTTGCCTATTCTTCTCTTATCTAAGAAAGAAAGAAAGAAAGAAAGAAAGAAAGAAAGAAAGAAAGAAAGAAAGAAAGAAAGAAAGAAAGAAAGAAAGAAAGAAAGAAAGAAAGAAAGGAAAAGAAAAAGACTCTTGTTAGCATTTTGTTGAAGCTGCTCTCCGTGGTCACTGACTAGCAGTTCAGCA